CACTTGAATGCAGCAAGGAAAAATGCAGGTTATTGGTTACTCATGATGACTATAGCATAACCTCGAGACTTCCCAGGGGCAGGACATCTGTGGTGAGAATACTTAGGAATCCAATCGACCGTGCCTTTTGCACTTGCGAATTTTCAGTGGAGGTGGCAGCTAGGTTTCTAGTGCATTCCAACTTAACATCTGCCACACAAATGACTGGTTGTTTGCGATCTAAAACTAAAGGAGTAAGTACGCTGGATATATGGCCTTGGAAGTATCTGGTTCCATGGATGAGAGAAGACCTGTTTGCTCGGGTATGTTTTCTCTAATCCTGTGTGAGTTATTATTCTATTGTCATCGTAAACCTTTGCCTCCTATTTGCTCAATGCATTTTACTCCTTTCTAAGGGTTGTTGTTTTGTCTACAATTAAGTCAAGGTCACTGTATATCCCTGTATTGCCAAGCTTTCTCTAAATCTCTATGTTAATCTTAGCTTTTTGCATCTAGTGTAAAGGAGTTTATAGAAAGTCTCTCGTATGCATTTGGTGCTGCTGGTAATTGTTAATTTCATCTGTTTCTGATTTTCCTTTTAAGAGAGCATTACTTTGACCAATGTGAGAACGTCTCCAGTTTTATTTCTCAGTGCTATGATCAAAACCTACCAGATGTGCATATATTTTATGTGATCTGAAATAATCAAGAGGGGCAAGTTTTCTTTTAAATTCTAATGTGACTTCTGTATGGTTGTTCATGAACCTGTTTGTGTCGATGATATAATTATTTGTGAGATATTTCCTTCTACTCTTGTGAGCAGAGAGATGCTAGGAAAGCTAGGGGCACTAATGAAGTTACCAGCATTGATCCATACAACATGGAAGACATTGCAATGCTATTACTCAATTACATCAATGATCCTATAGCTCATGAAATTGTCCATAATGGAGCAACCTTTCAGGTACTAATCCACAATTTGCAGCATTCCTATCCATGTTCTTCTCCAAAACGCTGGTTTACTAATTTAATTTACAGATTGCAGGATCGACAAACAACTCTTATTTACCTGAATCACATGAGGTGTGCCATTGTGTAGACAAGTATCATAACCTTGGTATATTGTTGTAATAATGGTAAATACGTGTAAATCTTGCAGAAGAGGTTTTGGACTATATGTTATATATTGGTCTAACTGAGGATCATAGGGAATCTGCAACAGTGTTTGCCAATGTGGTCCGACAACAAGTGATTTCTCAACTGGTAAACTCCAAAGCTATTGATGAGGGAGCCACTGTTAACAGATCAGGTTAGTCTGGAATTCTATTGAAATTTCCTCCTGAAATTTGTCTAATGCAGAAAGCTTTATAGAACCTTGTTAAATGTATTTGATTGCATTACATCAAAGTGCTGATTTTACTACATTGTTGTTTTGTATCCTTATCTAAACCGGTTGAAATCAAGATACTTTTAGCTTACTTAAATCACTTCTGCTGCAGGACCGAGTTCATTTTCGGATTCAGAGTTGGATCAGGTGCTAGAAAATGAATACTTAATAGCTTGGTACCATCAGGAGTATCACACATAACAAATTTGTTTTTTCTGGCATGACAGAAGACCAACACAGACGAGAAGGGGAGTGAAACCACATCATCATCAGATGACAATGAAGTAAAGCAAGAGAGTGTAAGCCCTTTTGTGTACTGTAATATCCTATTTCTTTATGGACTTAAAGTGATTTCTTTTTTTTACTAAACAAGTATACCTCTATTTTCTTTCTACCATAACAGATGACTGTGGGAAAACTTATGGACACTTATGAGGTTTGTATTTCTGGTTTGCGGAAGACCCAAACACGTCGACGTATAGCTTCTTTGAAGAGAATCTCACCAGCAAATTTCACAAAGGAGGTACTCTAAAATACTGAACATTTAAATACATGTAATCTATTCCTAGAGCACGGTTGGTTTAACTATACAACTAATAGTCTAGTACTTTGGCTGGAGCAAACCATACTTTAATAGACGTGCCGATCTTCATACCATTATGTCGGTGCATCTTTTTTTCAAGGGAATTAGATTTCCAGTGTCTTGATTGTCGGTTACATGTTTGGGGTTGTCATTTGTGTAGATCTATCATGTGTACAAGTAGGGAAAATTTAAGGTTTCAAAATTAACTGGAAAAACAGTATCTATATTTTATAATCAATTGCTGTGGTCTGTTGGGGGCTTTAACATTAAAATTCAACAGAGTTTTGGTAAAGTGAGGGAGAAGTAAAAGAAGAATATAAAAAGAACAAGATCAAGTGGTTGCTTCAATATTGGAATGAAATTCGGCTGTAGCTTTGTCAATTTTGGAATCTTCTGTTTAGTATTATCATCTGATTTACAGGCACGAGTTCCTCAGATGGTCCTCCGAAGATACTAACTCTTAACAAGCTTGATATAGAGCTCTACGAGTATGCTCAAGGCATCTTTGCAAAGTAGCACAAGCAAGCATCAGAGAGTTTCTTTGATATGGTGAGTTTGTTACACATCCAAGGCTTAAAAATATGATTTATCAAAGATGCTTTGCTGACATTGCTACCTTTCCAATGGATATGTAATACCATATGATTGTAACTTGTAATTTCCTGTTAATCAATGCTCCTTAGCTGAAACATGACCTTATTTTTTTTACTTATGCATAACATTGAATTGCTTGCTTGATATCCATGTACTTTTTAGATTCTGACATGGTGAGGCCTAGATGCAAGCAGCAATAATTTTAATTGTTTCAATCAAAGTGGCATCCTTATCATGATGCGTAATTTTGCAGGAAACACTGGGAAGCATATTCGTTTATTCAGGTGGGATCAAGCTTTGGAATGCCTGTTTGTGGACCATGCCATTTGTGTTGCTGTGTATCTTCTTGTTTGTAAATGCAAAGCGAAGAACGTTGAAAGTAAAGATATGAATGTTAGTATGTTACTGACTATTGATTTATACGGATCACAGCCATAGAAAAATAGTTGGATAAAATGGATTAAAGAATATGGGACTAACTTATATTATTCATCATGCTGGAGTGCTTAAATGCGAAGCACAACTGTTGGATATGAGGTTTTTGGTAGAGATGGCTTTATTATGATATTCTATAAATATAAAAGACGGAAGCTTTATGATTTGTTGTTGCATAAGATGATGAAAATCTCATGCAGTTGTGTAGTTCCTTTCAGGTGCTTTTTGATTGGTAGGATGTTCCTTAAAAAACAAACCTTGCACCAAACGGGCTGATGATGAGAGGTAAGCTTGTCTCCAAGTCTCCTCTTTTAACTTCTTTCTGGTAGTTAAGAATTTTGAGAGTTGTGATTTAAAAATTTCAGCTTTGGAAAGGATTAGTCTATGATTTTTGCCATTAGCTTTGTGATTGAGAGACCCACACCGCACTAAACACGATCGGGACTTTGGCATCTGGTTGGTTTTAGATGGAATACCATACAACATGGGGGTATTTATAGGGTCTAATTCTGGTTTGATCCCTGTACTTGTAGAAATCCAAGATTCAATCCCTCCATTAGTAACTGCTTGAGCAAAAATAAAAAAGATATTATCCATGTCATCACTTTAATAATAATAGCACCTAAAAGGGTTATAAGTTTGGATCTGCCAATAATATTATAAAAGTAGATGATTAATCTCAAGTCATAGCATGATTAGACCATTTTTAGTGCTAAACATAGGGTAGTCAATTTAAGTTGCATTTTGATCACTTAATCGGAACGCAACATTCTTTTCCCCCCTTTTCGTATGATGTATGTTGATGGGATCAGCATGCAAAAGTCCGATAAATGGCTAATGTGAATGTTGTTTATAAACTAGGCACCCATTGAATCTCAAAATTATTCCCCCCTCCCCCTCAGTTCAAAATCTCCAATTTAAAGCCTATTTTAAAGGCAAAATCATGTTTATATATATTCACCTCATATACAAAAAGCAAATGCTTTTTCTTTGTACGTATGTATACAGAAACAAAAAAGAAGGGAATGGAAATCGTTGAAATCTTTTTCCTTTTTAAAAATTTGATTTAATGGATCAAAGAAGCCCCAAAAAGAGAAGGCACCCATAATTTGTGCCCCAAACCCCGCTAGAATTAAGGTAAATTACACGTGTTTATTATTCTATCAATTTTATTTTATTTAAATTACTCAACTATTTTTTTCAAAATCATATTTAGTGTTTAATTTTAATTTTATTTTGGCTACCTATTATTAAAATATTAACGGTTATATTGATGTATTATCAAAATGTGATTTTGTTATCATTGAAAAATATTACGTTAATGGTTTTGTTAATTTTTTAATAGTGTGGGATCGAATGAAATAAAACAAATATATGTTAAGTATGTTTTTGAAAAAATAATTTGATGACCAAAATAAACTAAAAACGATAATTAGTTACTAAACTTATAATTTACCCTAGAGTTATCATCACTTGCTAAGAGAAAATCAAATTGTAAAAATCCAAAAAAAATAATTGATCTGAAAGATGGTTAGAAAAAATGAAAAAAAGAAAATCATTTAAAAAAACAGGGACCACAGCATGTGAATGGGAAGCTCCAACTAAAAATTTTGGGACCCAAATTGGACAGCACAATGATATTTTTTCTCTCCAATCCAATTTCGTCGGTGATCTCTCTCTCTCTCTCTCTTCCTTTTTATTTTACTTTAATAAAAAAAACCCATTTTTCTTATATCTACGATTAACCCTCTTTCTTTCGGCTAAACCACTTCCCCAGATGATTATTTTATTTTTTTATGGTATATATTGTTTCGATTTAAAAAAACGTTTCTTTTTTTTTTTTATCCAAAAAAAATCCCATTTCTAATCAACCCATCTTCCTATGTTTTGATTTATAAAAAAAAAAAGATTTAAAATTGATGACAGACGAACGGTGATTGAAAGGAAAACACACCACCCACCTCTCCATGTGCACCTTTTTTTACATTAGCTTATTCCCTCTTTCTCAACAATCCCTAAAATATCCCAAACCAAACCAGACCAAAGGGCATTCATCTACTTCCTCTTATTATTTTCTTCTCTCATTTTCCTTTGTTTCATACAATGCCTCTCCTTCAGTCTTGAACCCAGGTTTCCTTTTCTCCCCCCCTCTTTTCATTTTGCTTTTCTTTTCTTCTTTTGTTAATTACATGTTGGAATTTATTTTGGGTTTTCAATTTCCTTGCATTTTGCTTTTGCTTTCTGTATCAGTTCTCAAACTATGGGGAAAAGGGTACCTACTTGCAAAATATATTAGTAATTGTTATGTTACCTTTCTTTTTAGCTGCATTTTTATTTTCCATGTATCCAAACTGACACTTGAGAAAAAAAAGAAGTAGTTCTGCAACTTTTTTTAACGTTAATTTTTAACTGTTATTACTATTTGTTTATATTTTTTTTATTTCTAGTGTTTTGCTTGGTTACTTTACATGCTAAAATGACAACTGATTCTCCAAACCTAGAAAGAGAATTTTTTCCTTTTATAACATTCAGTTTAATTGGAAATTTCATGATTGATATTGCCTAAAATGTTGCTGTAGAGTCTTTAATTGCTTCAATTTCTTATTTTATACGGTAACAAGTTAAAAAATATTAAAATAATTATAATAATTTTAGCTGCCTAATGTAATTTCCAAAATGGCATTTTAAGTCTTTGCTAAACCCATACGCGTTTTAATAATTTTCATTTGGGTTAATGTTATAAATACTTAAAGCAAACTCCTTTTTGTAACTTATATTTATATTTTGTGATTTTAATATTTCCCTCTTCTATTTTTGTGAACAGGGAAATTAAGACAACGGACTCTGAAAATAAATTATGAATAATTCTTGGTTTGACAAAGGCTTTGATGGGGTCAACGAAGATTTCTTTGATGATGTAATAAAGTACTTGGATTTCCCTTTGGAAGATGTTGAAGGGACTGACAGTGGTAGTGGAGAAGGTGTTATAAAGGATTTCCATTTGCCCATCGTTGATGCGGAACAGAACAATTGTGGTGGCGGTGGCAATGGTGAAGAGTGGGACTGTAACTTTCAAAACTTAGAGCCGCCGCCTGCTAATGTTCTGGCTGGCATGTCTTCTGGCTTTGGTGGTGATTTTTTCAGTGATTTTTTAGCGAAGAGCCATTCTGTTTCAGTGAGTTATCCTTGCTTCCCTCACTCTAGTGATGACTGTGTTTATAACTTTAGTAGTTCACGCTAGTGATCGCTAGTATACATATTTATGAATTTAGTTGTACTTCGAAGTGAGTGATTGTCGTGCCTACTAGGAGACCTATTACATGGCATATGGTGCAGCACTAAACCCGTGCCTTGGCTAATGAAAACTGTCTAATGAATTAGTTTTCCTAGGGTGTTTAATAAGATTCGACAGGAGTATACATTACACGTGTGCTGACATGAGTGCTTTGTTGAATCGGTCCTTTATTGACGTGAAGGATGCTCTTGACGGAGCATTGGTGAAAGCGGGTTATTTAGCGTGTGTGATGTACTGCATTGTATTTCGTGATTCTGATATTAGAATAAGGTTCATATTATGATAAATTTTATATGTGATCTAGTCAATTGTTGTAGCTGATAAATCATTCTGAAATGGATGGTCTCTTCTTTGCTATCAATTTTCGATATTCTATCTTCGTACAATTATTATAAAGACGAATAACTATTCCTTATAGGTGTTTTTTTTTTCGTTTCTTTTCTTTTTAATTTTTAATTCTTAATTTTTAGAAGAAAATGGGATTAAAATCTTCCTTAACCTCATATCTTTTAGCTAAATTCATCTTCCCTTCTGTATCTAGTGTGATGGATCAACTCAGCTAAAACAATGGTCAAGCACTAGTGAAGCATCCTCGGGCAGAAGTGTTACCCCAAAAAGTGAGTCTGCCAATTTCAAAGGTTCAATCAGGTTCCAAACCTCCAGTCCCGTGTCTGTACTTGAAAGCAGTAGCACAAGCTCTGCTGCAAATCCAGCACTTATTAACCCTAAGCCCAGTTTCCTGGTGAAACGTGGTCGAAGCAAGCGCAGACGAGCATATGCCTTTAACCTGCACTTCACATTGCCTTTTACTTCCTCCACCTCCACTACCTTCAGGGGATCTAATTTTTCGGTCGGTTCTGAATCCGAATCAGAAAGCCATCTTGCTGAGGCCAAAAATAGATTGAAGAAGAAAAAGAACCTGACATGGCTTTCAGGTTTCAATGACATGAAGAGATCCCCCTCCGAACAGCCTACCGAAGTTAGGAAATGCTTGCACTGTGAAGTTACAAAAACTCCACAATGGAGGGAAGGACCAATGGGACCAAAAACCCTTTGTAATGCATGCGGTGTTCGTTTCAGGTCCGGCCGTCTCCTTCCCGAGTATCGTCCTGCTGCAAGCCCTACATTCGTTCCAGCGTTGCACTCCAACTCTCATAAGAAGGTGGTGGAGATGCGGAAAAAAGCCAACATGTTGTCGGTCCCACCGGAATCGATTAGTATGTAGATTAAGCTTCGCATAGGGAGCTTCATTGTTATGTCTTACATTTGTGTCTTTTTTAGGTTTTGTCAGTGTGTACATTGATGGAATAAGTAGGAACTTTAGAATGAGATGTTTTTGCAGGTGGAACAAACATGAATCAATAGGCAGGAAAAAAGTATCTCGGTGAAAGTAGGGAGTCATTGGAGGGTGGATTTTCAGATTAGGTTTTTAATTTCAGTAATGCCTTAGCATATGTATCAGTTCCCACCCTATTCATTTATTCTTCCCAATTCCAGTTTCTTTTTTCTCATTTTGTCTCCGATTTTGCTTGAATAGCTTTAATATTGGACACCAATATGTTATCAGACACGATGACGCGACATAAACATGATACGAATATGTTATCAGGCACGGCACGACATGAATAAATTACGCACAGGGATAGATTGGGGGGAGACGCCAAACCCAGCCTGCTCGACTCCAAAGCAATAGAACATCATTCATCAAACTTTAAGCTACTTGTTTTTCTACCTTTTCTCTTTAGAAAAACTTCTTGTTCTTAATTTGAAGGCATGGTTTAACTAATTATTGAAAGGGCAAGATCACAACAAGCCCTTTCTCTTCCTTCTTTTTGTTTGGTGTTTTAATGGTAAAGGGAAGAATTTCATTGAATCTCAACCCATCATTGCAAATAATTTATACTTGAAATGCAAGGAAATTTCAACTTTCACATTCCCACACAGATAGCGTATGCATGTTTGTCTAGAATGACAAATTTTGAACCAATCAGAATTCATCGTGTAACAAGAGATCAACACCAAAGTCAATATTTTGAAGAATTTAAGGAAATTATAAACACTTCATCTATTCGGAAGAAAGTTGCTCCTTAATCTTACATTATTACAACCAAATTCCTATCAATGAAGCTCATCACCAAGCTTTTCAAGAAGGTAATGAAATTTCTACCAAGTTTTTCAACGATCATTAAATTATGAGGGCTTATTTCATTAAATTGAAAGTTTAGTGGCTTAATTGGGAGTTATTAGGAGTTTATGGACTAAATTGCAAGGAACATAAAATATTATAGCCTTCTCTGAAACCCTAGAAAATCAATGGATATATGTTGTAAATTGCCATGTTTGTGCCCATAAACTGAGCCTAGGCTTTTTAGTACCCCTCAATTCTCTAGCGTTTTATTGGTGCATCTTCTGTCTTCTTTGGATTTATTTCTTGAGGTCATGTCCTTCTTTTAGAGCCCATGGGGCGTATAGGGGGAGGGCTCGACAGAGTGGTGACAAGGAGACTAGACTTAGAGTTTGCTCGTTGAATGTAGGCACATTAAATGCTAGGCTGCTGGAGCTGACCGACGCACTTAATAATAGGAAAATAGATTTTGCATGTATTCAGGAGACTAGGTGGAAAGGGGCTCGCGCCAGAGAGTGTAATGGGTACAAGTTGTGGTATTCAGGCGTAGATAACGCTAGAAATGGGGTGGGTATCTTGGTATCCTCTAGGCTCAAGGAAAATGTAGTTGAAGTTTGTAGATACCGGGATAGGATCATGATGCTTAAGGTTATTATAGAAGAGGAAGTGGTGAATGTCCTTTCAGTGTACGCCCCACATGTTGGCCTAGGGGAGGGGGAGAAACGTTGCTTCTGGGATCAGTTAGATGATGTACTTAGGAGCATTCCGGAGGACCAAAGAGTTTTCATAGGGGGAGACTTCAATAGCCATATAGGTAGTACAATCGACGGGTATGACGGTGTTCATGGGGGTTTTGGTTATGGTAGCAGGAACGATGAGGGGCGTACGTTGCTTGAATTTGCTACTGCTCACGATTTGGTGGTCATTAACTCCTTATTTAATAAGAGAGATGCGAACTTGATTACGTTTCATAGCGGGGGATATTGTACCCAAATCGACTACATCTTTGTTCGAAATCGGGATCGATGGGCTTGCATTGACTGTAAGGTGTTCTCTGAAGAGGCATGTGCATCGCAACACAAATTGTTGGTTTTGGTGTTCCGCGTACCGCACGGGCGAAACACTCATAGGAGGGCTAAACTAGGTAAACCTAGGATCCTTTGGAAGAAGTTACATGGAGCGACAGCTGATGACTTTAGGAGTAAGGTTTTGTCTAATACAGGTTTTGGAATTACAAACTCAAATAATGCAGATTTGTTATGGAAAAATATGGCAAATTCCATCAGAGAGGTGGGCAAAAACACCCTGGGGTTGTCGACAGGGAAGGCCAAGGAACATAAAGAATCGTGGTGGTGGAACGACGAAGTCCAAACTAAGGTGAAGACAAAGCAAACTTGCTTCAAGGAGTTTTTACAATGCAATGACGACGAAGAAAGGTCGAGAGCTAAACAAAGATACAAGGATGCAAAGCGGGAGGCCAAGAAAACGGTGGCTAAAGCAAAGGATAAGGCATACGAGGAAATGTACAAGAGATTAGACACCAAGGAAGGACAAAACGGCATCTTTAGGCTTACAAAATCTAGGGAGAATGGGAAAAAGGATTTAGGTAGCATTAGATTTATTAAGGACAACAATGGTGTTCTTATAGCGAAAGATCATGATATTAAGAGGGTTTGGGGTAGTTACTTCTTTGGCTTATTTAATGACGGTGCCTCTCCCTATAGAGATAATACCGTTGATGGGTCATCCGACCATCATACTTCGGCCAATGACTGCCCTACAAGTAGGATTGGGTTTTAGGAAGTCAAAATGGCTCTTAGAAAGATGGAAAGGGACAAATCTGTCGGTCCTGATCAAATTCCTATCACTGTGTGGTTGGCCCTAAGAGAAGAGGGAGTTAAGTGGTTGACCAATATCTTTAATATTATTTTAGAGACTGCCAAGATGCCAGAGGAGTGGAGAGAGTCCACGGTGATACCAATCTATAAGAATAAAGGAGATCCCCAACGTTGTGGTAACTACAGAGGTATTAAACTACTCAGTCATACCATGAAGCTATGGGAAAGGGTGATAGAGGCTAGGTTGAGACAAGTTACTAGGGTTTCGGAAAACCAATTTGGCTTTATGCCAGGTAGGTCTACCACGGAGGTGATTCATCTACTTCGACGACTTATGGAGAAATATAGGGAAAAGTCTAGAGATCTTCACATGACGTTCATTGACCTTGAGAAGGCTTATGATAGCGTTCCCCGCGATACGATCTGGAAGACTTTGGAAACGAGACGGATCCCAACTATTTATATCCGGGCGATTCGTGATATGTATTGTAGATCTACTACATACGTCAGGACTACAGTTGGCGACACCGAGGCATTCCCGGTAGAAATCGGACTCCACCAGGGGTCGGCTCTTAGCCCTTACATCTTCGCCTTGATTATGGACGACATCTATTGTGCGACACCAGACGGTGTACCATGGTGTATGCTTTTCGCTGACGACATTGTCCTAGTTGCTGAAACAAAATCTGAGTTGAATAGTAGACTGGCTACCTGGAAGACTGCTTTGGAAGAAAAAGGTTTAAGGATCAATATTGATAAGACAGAGTATTTATGTTCAAACTTCAGTAGGGACCAAAACGAAGAAGATGTAGAAGTATGCATAGAAGGACACGTTCTCCCCTCAAAAAATTGTTTCAAGTACCTAGGGTCTATGATACATAAAGATGGGGGTGTAGATGATGACGTTACACACCGTATAAAGGCGGGATGGCTAAAGTGGAGGGCCGCTACTGGAGTTTTGTGTGACAAGAAGATGCCTCTAAAACTTAAGGGAAAATTTTATAGAATGGCAATAAGACCAGCGCTGTTGTATGAATCAGAATGTTGGGCAACCAAGAAGGATCATGTAAGGAGGATAGAGGCCGCAGAAATGAGAATGCTTCGGTGGACATGCGGTAGGACTCTGTGGGATATGACAACAAACTCTGCTATTAGGATGTCCTTGGGGGTGGTGTATGTTTCCGAAAAATTGAGGGAAGGAAGACTACGGTGGTTTGGGCATGTCCTTAGGCGACTACCGTCAGATGCGGTCAGGAGGGTAGAGTCGATTACAGTCGACGATGCCAGAAGGAGAGGATGACCAAGGCGGAAGTGGGAAGACTGCTTGAGATCTGATTTGATGGATTTAGCCCTTACCGAGGACATGACCTCTGATAGGAAAGTATGGAGACTTAAGACTAGGATAGTCGAGTAGTGTGGGTCACATCTCTAGGGTGTATCATCTCTGTCTTCTTTTAATGCCTTTGTAGTAATTTCCATGACTTCTACTTTTTATTCGTTTATGTTATTGGTATTTATGAAGGCTTAGAACTGGGCTTGCTATCGTTTGACTTCTGTGTATCATTCTCTCCACTTTTAATTTTAGTCGGGTCTTACGTTTCTGTCTATATACAGAGATTTTTTCGTAGGGATTTTTTTTTGCAGGGATTACTGCCCATTACAGACGCGCATATGATATTAATGATATTAATAACTGCATATGATTACTGTTCAACTATGTATTTTTGTATTTATTTATACATGCATTGCATTTTATCTATATTTTTAATTTCCTGGCTGCCGGAGGTTTTCCACGGAAGCTACTCTCAACCTGGCGTTGGGGGCAGCCTACTACCCTACCTCCCCCTTACCCCATTGCATATGAGAATTGGGTTTTGTTGTTGTATATGGGCTGAATTACGAACATCACATTACAGTTGAAAAGATGCGTCTTTATCGTATGCAACACGTTCGATCAACAAATTAGTGTTATTTGAAAAATTAATAAAAGTTTGACAGTTTATAAAATAATTTTAAGGTTTTTTTTTGTTTTTTGTTTTTAAAAAACCCTTAAAATAATTTGTGAGCCTTACTTTCGTCTTGGAATCTTTTTTCATGACGTTTTTTTAGGGCTAGGTCATGAAAATGATTGGCCTAACCATAGTTTTGAACACCAATTTTGCCTTTTTTTAAGAAATAAAACAATTAGACAATACACCTTAGTAATTGTAATACCTAATTTTTTCCAAATAATAAGGATTAAATGCGAGGCGATCATTTTCGGCGTCATTGACGAAGTGACTCATCGAATTTAAATTAACATTAGAGAACATACGTGTGTTTGTCATTGTTTCGTATTTATATTCTATCCTTGTTCTTTGCTATGCTATTATTTATTGCTCATCTTGTTTCGATAATTTACACTTTACACTTTAGACCTTAGGTTTAGATCTTATTCATTTTAATTACTGTTCTGGTTTAATATGAGATTTGTAGAATCTATTAGTATCCTTAGCTCTTTGTATTTATTATTTGTTAGAATGTTAATAGAA